CAATATTATTGTTCAAGCCTTAGTTCTCTCTGCTTTTAATTCTGTGATTGCCTATGCTCTTTGTCCTTACCAAGGCATATACATAGATTTCTCTCTAAAACCAAACGTTTTAGTAAACTGTGTGGCCTTAAAGGATTTTCCAGACACTCGCTGTGTTAGCTGAACTTGATGAATGATAAAAATTTCTCTAAATTGTAGTTTACTGTCTCGAGCTTCTGTGACACCGATGGCTGCTGTGCATCACAAAGCCAAGTGGCAGGAAGTGCAGCTTCTGCCACACATCCAGGAGAGGTGGCCTAACACTTCTGGTGGTAAGCAGGTCTCATCTCTAAACCAGACCTGGACAAGTGTCTGTGGGCTTAATTTCTGGACAGACTTAATGCCTCCATGGTTGAGAGGAGAGTTTCTTACCTCTTCAGGTTCACAGGCCCATCTAACAGAACAGCGGTAAGACTGGCTCCCAGTCCATGTGTATTCTGGTCCAGGAGGCACAACAAGCCTGTTAATGCCCTTCTTTAAGTGTGGATAAAGTACATTTCTGCTGCAGTGTCGTTCATTCACAAGTGGAACACATGGATTTGAAAATCTATTTGTTGTACCTGAGGAAACAATTGTGTTTTGTGCTTCTCCGTGTCTCTGTGTGGACAACCAACTATTGGGAACATTTTAGAACCTCATTGGAAGAGGTCCAGAGTTTTTCTAAGTACATTGTTTATGGTTTGTTTCAGATTATCAATTATGTCTCAAATAAAAAGCTCACTGCAGATGATCATTGTGCTGTACTTTGAACTCATTTAACTCAGCATTATTTACAGAATATTTATCTTGGTTATGGCAGTTTTTGTCACACAGCGATATTACTTTTCCATTTTATACTGCATGTGACCACCACATAAGTTTGATAATAAATGTTGGGAAATAAAAAACAGAGTAAGTGCCTCAGTATGATAGCAATTCTCATGTGACGGGAAATAATGTCATAAACTTCAAATTACCTTTTAAATAAATGTTTATGTCCAACCCATCCATTAGATCATAGCCCGAAGGGTCAGGAGGATCATTTCTTCATCTTTCACTGTGTGCATTACGGTTGCTTTTTTAGGTGTAAATGATGTTTTTAAATGAAGAACGGCACTCAAACTATACACAAACAATGGCTAGACATTACTGAGTCACAGTACAGCAGAAATAGCCTCAGCCACTTTGCTAAATATAGAAGTGCAGCAGTAAATTGAATTCATTCTTAGAAAATATTTTTAATGGTGTGAGTGCTGAGATGATACAGAAATACAGCTCGTGTCATTCTCACAGTTTGAAGCTTTGACATTTTAGTCAAGCTTGAATTCTAGTTGTGGTTTGGTAAATGGCTGATTTGCAAAATGCTTATGGGAGTCAAGATTTTGGAGAGCAGGGCAGAGAAGTGTACAGATAACAGATATTGTACTAATGAGGGTCTGAGCCATCTAGGGCTTTGTGCATTTGTGAAGAGATACCACTCAGTAAGTGCCCAGAGATGATGTGTCCCTGAGAGCACCCAGTGTAATATATCTCACATGCCGAGACCTCACTACTCGCAGTGCCTCTCATAGGAAGGGAACACTGAGGACCATCTCAAGAATGAAGCAAACTCAAATCCCACATTTAGACATTTCTCCGCTTTGAGCTGGACATCCCTACTCCATATGTCCTGGAGGAGCCCATATGGCTCCCCAAAACACTCAATGCATCAAAGATTTTATATGTAGTGGTCTTAACCTACAGCACCAGGCTAGAAACCCAACTAGGAGCTGGAATGGTTGGAATAACGGAGAGGTGACTTTGGAGAAGCAGAAGCTGCAGTTGTCCTGAGACTGCTGGTGTGTGTGTAGGGATGGAGCAGGTTCCTCAGACAGGCCTGGACTGGCTGGGATGGGGGAAGGAAGAGCTGTCAAAGGCTGTTAGACCAATCTGGAAATAAATTTGAACAAAAAACTTCTGTTTACGGGCAGGGGAAAACCCATTGTCATGGAGATTTAAGACACCGATCAAGAAATTCAGTGGTGTTTTTGCTTCAGCTATGATTTGACCTTCCTGTTTACATTAAACATTTTTTATGGCAGAGCGCAGTGACGTGGTTGCTTTGTTTGAGGTATTTGACAGTTACGGCAGTTCAGGGAATAATTGTTTTGGTTCTATATATGTCAGGAAAGAAATATGTTAATATTTGAGAACAGGTTACTTTTTTTTTAAAAAAGCCTTTTTATGTTTGTTATGTTTCTCAACTTCTTCCACAAGGACCACGAACACAATAAACTTAATTTTAAAACAACATTTCTTAGTAACATGCCCAAAAAATTCTTTTTAGTTAGGGGTTAATCTACTCTAGAACCAGTTTGCTATAATATTGCTTCTTTTGTCATTATAATTTGTGTAAAAATGGTATATTAATTTCTTAGAGTTCACTTGATCTTGATTCTTTTTTGTTAGCAGAGATCTGTAATCCTTTCCACAGTAACCACTTGTAAAAGCAGAGGATTATGACTTGAGGCAGGATATGAACAGCAGGAACAGATCAACCTAAAACCAAAGATCCTGTTTCAGTACAAATGCTATTGTTAGCACAGAGTTGGGGTGAGTCAAGTGGCAGGATGTCTATTAGAATATAATAAATTCGTATCAGTGCCACATGGCATGCTAGCCAGAAGACACATCCTTCTAGCAGTTATGTGATGGACCTCATATTTTTATACCTTTACTTATTATACTTTTCCTTAGTCCAGTAAACCATTCACTCTGAGAATGGCTGATATCTAAACATCTGAACAGCTTTTTGGTTTTCTGTAGATTTATTTTTCTGTCTAAAAAGTTTCCTCTCTGTTATACTTTTCCCAAAATCTGCTAAAAGCAGGGATTTGAAACTACACTACTACAAGGTCATTCAGAGGTTAGTGATAGCCAGTGTGGACTATTGCTATCTTTTTTTATGATGTATGTGATCCTTCAGAGAAAAGGAGAAAGAGAGGTTTTTTATTTTGTTCCTGTATTTAAAACCAAGAAATACAATAACATTTTTCCTTTACTAAAAAGTCTTGCTTTTAACACTGATAGTTTAAACACTGATAGTTTAAACAACCTAACATCAATACACATGACTCAATATATTTCTAAAGTTTAATTTTTTTCCTAGTATTTTTCATGTTAAGGTTAGTAGGAAGTAACGAAGGCACCAAGCAACAAAATGCATGCTAGTCAAGTGTGGAAAAAGCCTACTTTTTGTAAAAATTAGAAAAATTCTTACGTGGCATAGACAAAATGCAGTGATGGAGTCAGGTGGCAGTTTCACTCAGAACAATCTGTATTGTTATTCCAACAACTGACACCACATACAAGTAGTAATCTGTGCTTCCCAAGCTTCTATTGACTGTATTTTTTGTAGTAGACAGTGGAATATATCCTGCTTATATATGATACATATTTTGTCTCAGTGTATATTAGTTTATACATGCACATATATATATATATATATATAAAATGTACTTTACACCATCAAATAGTAAAATTCCACATAAGCATCTCTAATGGCAAGTCAAACAGAAGCTCTGGTGGAAAAAATGTTTGAAGGGGTCTTTAATCATTGTCATGTGGTGACAAGAAGAGACTCAATGTGGTGGTTTCAGTGAGTTTGTTTTAATGCTTGCTGCTGCATGGATTAGGATCTCTCTTCAGTGTCCTGAAGTTAGCAAGATTTAAAAAAGCCCCCAAACATAGTCTTAAGTTGTATTTCTAACTCCTGTCTGAAAAGAAGATTTTATTGCTCTTGATAAATAATGGTTTTCAGATCACCCTACTGATGGCACTTGGGCTGCAACTATATTATCAATGAATAAGAAAACAAAAGCCCTGGCATTTCAACAGTATGAATTCTTCAGACTGTGTTATTTTGTTAGCCTGAGGCAAGAGACTGTGCTCTTAGTACTCGTCTGTGAAGAATGAGTAATCTGAGACAAATGTGTAACCGCACCGTGTGTGCAATATGTCCACATACTGTAGGCTCCCTGGTCTCGCTGTGTGCCACAGGCAGCCAAGTATCTCTCATGGACAATAGTCATATGTTAAAAAATGATAATTTTATTTTAATGCCTGTGATTTCACCACACTAGCTGATTCTAAAAGCATTATAACACGATGGTGTAACCGTGGGTCTGTTTATTCTGTTAGAAGCAGAATTTCGTGCTGTAAGGATTTGGTTTCACCGGCAGGATTTTTTGTTACCTAACCAGAATTCTGTATTTGTGCATGAATTCTATGCATGAGAGCAACTGAAAATACGTATTCCCAGTGCTTTCTATTTCGGTGTTTTAACATAACTTGCATTAGTGTGTGTGTGATAGCTTGAATTTTCTTTCTTCGCCAAAGCTGCTTAAACAATACAATGACAGATTTCTGCTTTTATTCTTCGTTAATGTCATTCTTCATCCTCCCTGCCCCACATCAAGGAGGAAGTGTTGCGAGTTTGCTATTTTAATGAAGAGAAATGAGGCATCTATCAACTAGGATTTACACTGGAGAGAACATCAATTCAGTTGCCTTGAGCTTGCTGAGTTTGCATATCCAGGGCCAGGCAGTGCTCTCAATTACTCCCGTGCAACCCCATTACCTTCAGGAGGTTGCACCGTTCAAAAGTGGCTTTGCAGAACGCAGGGTGATATTGGGGGGGGAAGAAAACCATGTGTTAGAGAAGTCAAGCTCCAAAATATGGGTTTTGGTTATCTATAGGGAGATGTGCATGCAGCCGTAATTGCACTTATGAAAGGTTGGGGTAGTCATCACGTAGTAATTTCATTGAGCGTCTCTTTGTAGCTGTACCTAACAGAACAGACAGCCTCCCAAAAATTACTGCAGTGAGGGGGAAAACACTTCCAGCCCTGGAAACATATTGTAAATCATATGTCTTTAGTAGACTCTATCCTGTAATTACTCTTAACCGTAGGTTGTTTCCTCCTCTCTCTCTCTCTCTCCAGGAGCTATGCCGCCAGCGCATGGCAGTGAAAACATCTGATCGCCCGGAGCCCCTCCACTCCTCCCGAATAAACAGCGTTTCTTCTCAGTTCAGCGATGGGCCCATTCCCAGCCCCTCGGCCCGGAGCAGCACGTCGTCCTGGTGTGAGGAGCCGGTCCAGTCCAACATGGACATCTCCACCGGTCACATGATCCTGGTAAGGCACTTTTGTCTTCGTGGCACGAGCAACTTCGTCAGAATTTTGGGTACCTGCTCAGCTTTTGGAAAGAGAGAGCTTTTAAAGGAAGGAAAGATGTCTTTTCAGAGGTAGAAAATATTTCTGAGCGTCGCTGGTAGTCTTAGCTTTGTAGAGTTAAAACTAAAGGCATTTTTATTTACATTTCTCTTTTTTTATATCTTTTTTTTTCCTTTTTGGGGAATATTCTTTTATATTAATCATACAAATTGTTTCCATGCTTACTTTAAAAACGAGAAGCTCTGTGGTGTCCTTTGGTCCTATTAATTTATGTTTACCTCAGCTTGGACAATTGAAGAAAATTGGCAAATTTCTTACTTTTTCTTGCTTTTTCTCGTGTATCTTCAGTGTTCAGAGGTATCTGAGCTGAGAAGGCAACAGAAGATTGGTGATACGGAGCAATTTGCTTCTGTTACCCTTAGAAAAGGGATCTGAATTTTAGCCTTGCTTGGATTTTTTTTTTGTCCTTGGCTAAATGTCTTCCAGGCTGGATTTCTCCTATGTTTGAAATGATCCAAATACATTCTATTGATGGAGTTTGTGTTGGAAAACTTGGGTTCCAAACACAGCTTGAGACCAGTATCAGTGTAGAAGATGGACATAATGAAGAGTTTTTTGCATGTAAGAGTCAGAGTCCAGTGGACTGGTGGAACTTGTTTCTGTCCTGCTGGGAGAGCTGTAGAGTAATCCTCCATTTTTTGTGCCTTATTTTCATCCTTCTTTAAATATTTACTGTCTTTCTAGAGTGCATTGAAATAGCTGAGTAGAAATTAGGTGATGGTGAAGAACCTGATCTGAAGTCAGATGTTGTTTTGCTTTCTCTCTTTTAAATTACTATATTCTCAGATATTTTTCAAGTTCTTTTAAGCCAACCTCACATAATGGAGAAAAGAATGAAAGCTGGCAAAACCCAATGAGCTAATTTGACCTCAAACAAGTTACTGACCTCCTCCACCCTTGATCAGGTCAGCTATAAAACTGAGCAAAAGCAGGGCAGGATTGTAAACCAGATGCTTCCTCAGAGTATGTCGTCCTGAGTAAATATTTCTCTGACTATCCCCCTTCAAAAAGGAGTTAATTATTTATTATGTTAATATCTGGTAGGCAAGTGCAGTTTGGAAGGGTTGGTCCCATAACAGAAGATCATTTGTTATGGTTTTTACTGTTCCACTTTTGCCTAACCAGAACTAAAATTCACTTGGTTTCCTTTTATGGTTAACTAAAATTCTTGGGAGAAGGCAAAAAAAAAAAAGTCTCCAGTTGCCCAACTTCAAAATAAGTACAAATTCTGAGGAAGGTTTGAATGGTTCTGAGGCAATATATTTGTATGGTAATAAAAGCAAAAATTCCCGTGTAAATGGAAATATGCATTTAATATTTGCAAACAGTTTCAACTACTTTAAATTGAGCAAAATTGTTTTCAGTGATATTATTGGGAAACATAAAAAAAATCATCACAAAATCACACTTAAAGAAGAGAAAGTTGCATATGGGAACCACTTACTCTGTCTCTTAGGATTTCTGCAAAATTGCAAGAGAGAATTGTCTTCATATGGCAATAAATAAACTTTAAAAATAGTCAGATTGATCAAGATCACTGTTGTGGTGTTCAGTGTCCATAATTCAGTCAATCCTGTTTAACCCTGGATGAACCCATACATGTGTTAGCTATCTAACAGCATATGTTATATCTTAGATGGTGAGGGTTCAAAGAAGAGTAAAGAAATGCTGTAGTGTCTTGAGAGTACAAACCACACAGAGAGAGTAAAAACATTTAATTTTTTTAGTCTAACCTGAACAAACAAAAATCAGTGATTCAGGGGAGTCTGCCTACGTGCTTTGACATATAGGATGAGGAAAAAATGTTCCTAATGGATGCAGATGATACAATTAGGAAGAAAATATGGGTTAGCATCAAAAGGATGCATTTAGCTTTGCTATTAGGACAAGCCCAAGAGGAGACAGTGGGACATTTACTTAAGAAAATAATTAAACCATAAATGCAAGATTTGCTGAAGGCAAAGCTGGGTTAGGTTCACGTGGAAGATCAGCGTCTCTCAGCTACAGCACAGAAGCAGATGATTGGACTTGATCAGAAATGCTCATGTTCTGTGTCACTGTGGGTCACACTGAAACCAGGGAGCTGACCCAATTTATGTCTTGCTTAAAAATAAATGCACATATCTGTAATATCTTATTTACCTGAATTTTTCCCCCTCTGGAGATGCTGTGGCTTGTTGGACCTCAGAGTAGAAGAGGAGAGAGGTGAGCTCTTCCTCTCCTTGCCTTGCAGATACAAGCGGAGGAGAGTGAGGGGCCACTTTGCGACTTTTATACCATTCAATACAAGATATTTTTCAGTTCTTCTCATTTCCTGCTGCCACAATCCTCTTATCTTTTAAATTTTGTAGATATTTTCTGTGAAAAATATCTCAGTGCCTAAAAAACCAATGAGAAATATTAGCAAGGGGCCAAGTAAGAATGGCAAATACCCTCTGCTTTTCAGGGTAAATGCACTTACAGGTCTGTAAATGTGTTTTTCAACTCCACAGTGTGCAGTGAAGGAGCAGTTAGCTGAGCTAAAGCTCCTCAGTCTTTATTGTTCGTAGGTGCCAGGATCTCCCTAGAGAAAATAAAGCAATGGATTACTGTATAGAGTGGCAGCAGGAAATATTTTATTTTGATTTATAAACAGAATAAAACTTTAATGAAAATAGCCTAGAAGTGTGTCTGTGACTGCTGAATGACTCCATGTAATCTTGCTCAGAGGTAGCGTTGGTCAGAAATATTTCTGTAAAGCTGTTTAATTTGCTGGAAAATGCTATCAGTCATACCTAAAGTGGTATTTAAGTCACCTCAGCTTTGGGATTGTTGGAACTTGTGGTTGACCACAGGTACTGTTTCCTTGGAGGACTTGCCACGTGTGGTTAGCCCATTGTTTATCCTGCTCGAGGTCTGGAGAAACCAGGAATTTTTCCAATCCTGTGGCTGTGAGGCAGTCTCCTCACTTAGTCTGAAACCAGCTTTCAAGGAGAAAAATCCTGCATTTCTGCTGCTTCCCTGTGCAGGAAAGGCGATGTCTTTGCACTACTGACAGCACCGTGAGGTGGTTTGAGCTGTTGGCAGGAGGAAGCAGGGAGGGCTCAGGAGGCCCAGAAGGACAGCGATAACAACATTCAGAGCTTTTTTTTTTTCCTTTTCACTGTCTTTTTCATCACATTTATAACAGGAGGGTGGTGCATATGGCACATTTTGATTCTGTCTTTCTAAAAAATCCAAGCAGTTTGGAAAGTGTAATTAGAGGAGCACGTTTTATGCCGTCATGTTTGTGGCGCTGACTGGCTGGTTTCTGCAGGAGCAACAACACAGAATGCATGCCCTCATTTTAGTCACCATTGGTTTTGAAAGAAAACATTTTACAGAAGGTCACAGCAAGGGAAAGCATAGGAACTTAGAATTAGATTTCCACCCACTTTATTCTCCTGTGTACATCTATATTTCAGGTGACAAGAGAAGTTCTGGTAAGGGGCAAGACTTCATTTGCAGCCCAGCAAGAAAACTAGAAGGGTTTTAAAAGTGTCTAGGAGAGATTTGGTCTCCCTAACTTGGGCTCCTATCTTATTCCTATATTTTAGGCACTTAATGAAGTGTTGGTGTTGACTTGAGTCCATAAATTCTCTTCCTAGTTGGTGAAGTCAGTGGGTGTCTATGAAGGTCTCCAGAGAATTAGGTAGAGAATGGATTTCTCTTGAAACTCCTCCTTTGTGCCTGCACCATCCAGTTTATGTCTGCAGCTTGGGTGAAGGAATCTCTTCTCTGTGCTGTGGCACAAGTTCAGCACCTAAGTTAGGTGGATTAGATCCTACATCTGCTTCATGTATTACCCTGCTTGTTTGATTAAAATAATTATAATCTTTTATGAGGTTTTAAATGAAGAACAGTACTGCAAGGAGGGAGTGTAGGCTTTTGATGATAACATTATGAGGTTGTTATCTGAATACTGTATAGGAGAGGGAATTTGCAGAAGCAGAAGCGATTTTCTGTGTTGTGCTGGTTTTTTCGTCGTAGAGAGAGATGTGCAAAATTTGAAGCATTATACATAAATTAGGATTTTGAAAGTGTGAATTTATGGAAGGTCTTTTTCAATACTTTTTTAAGCTGTCTCTGGGGAGTCTTGTCCCAGAGGGTATTAAGCTGCTGCATGTATAGGAAATAATAATAATAATCTGTGATGGTTTGTGGTGCTGTACTTTTCAGAAGAAGAAAGTTTTGTACCTGGGCTGAATGAGGCAGTGGGAACAAATGAACTACAGCTTGAAACCCAGGGCCTTACACCTAAAGCGTGTAAGTCCACTTGATCCCCTTGTGTTTGGCAATATGCCTGCAAACCCAGAAGGACTTTCCCCATGGAGAAGTGAAGGATGGCCTCACATGAGAACTTGGAGTCAAGGTTCTGGGACAGGTTGTGTCCCAAAAGGTGACACAGCCTGAGCTGGGAACATGGGGTAGAGACTTGCTGCTGCAAAACCAGACAAAGCCCAGATGTTGAATGTTGCATCCATTTTAGTTTTGATGCTGAATCAATGGTAGGATTGCTGTAGGACTGGAAAGGGTAACAAGGAGGGAATAGTTTCCAAGGTTGAACTTGGGGGGTTTTTTATAGCATTGGTATCCCGTAGTCTCTGAATAGTAACTTTTTGAATGTTTCTAAGCAATTTCCCCTCACTCTTAGTTTTTAAAATGAACTCTGTTTTAAATGAACTCTATGGGGTAGCAGCTGTAGATTTTCTTTTAATTGAATATGGAAAAATGGAGAACTGAGTGACTGAAGACACACTCCAACAAGAAAAAATATTTGTTAAATCCTGCACCACATCTTGCTGAAATTCCTTGATTTTATTCTTAAAGCTACAATAAAATTGGGAGCAAAGACACCCAAACACACTTCTCTAAATAAAGAG